AAACCTCTGGAATTATCTCAAATATACTGTGTGCCACAGCCGGCAAAAAGAAGAAACTACCAGATATGGTAACATCCAAATAATGAAGAGTCCAAGAGAAATGAGTTTGTCCACAGAATGACAGACACAATTTAAAATCCTCTCCAAGTTTAAAAAGAAAAAAAATTATAAAGCGCATACTTTAGTAGGATAAAGTTTAATACATTCAGGAATTCAGAAAGAATAAGGACCTTTAGATGTCTTAGGATATTGTTCACTCAAAGACCTTAAAGGACTTGACAAACATTAGAAGCTGGAGTTCCTTGGTAACTTTCTGAAATACTGATTTATTAAAATGTTAGGTGAGAACTTGTTGGTTGCTGCTAAATTCCAGTAAAACCCAGAAGAATCTGCCTGGTTTCTTGCCAACCTGTCCATCTGGCTTCATGGCAACCCAGCAGCCAGACTGCTGCAGAGACCACATTTCCAAGCTCCTGGCCCTCAACAGCCCAGGAACATCGTGTTCCACGGTTACCCAAAATACTCAGGTTTCTACCTGGCAGGCTATTGGAGATGGCCCAAGAAGCCTCAGAAAATGCTTCAAATATTTCACAAGAAATGTCACTCTGACCTTCTCTAAGCAAAATGTCAGAATTTTCATTACATGGAAAATTTCAAAATGTCATTTCTGTTGCATTTCAGAATGATACTTTTTTTTTTTTTTTTTTTTTTTAAAGTTTCCAGAGAATAGGAATTTCAGTGACTGGTTAGCTCTAATCACTTCACATTCTCTTTCCTAGAAAAATCCATTTTCATTGACTTATTGTCACATGTTTTAATGACTTTTCTAAAGCTACAAAAAAAAGCGAGTCTGAAGTGTGGCATACAATTCCCAGTTTGACGTGCTACAAAGTAGTCCACCCTCCATGCTTAGAATAATTCTCCACTGCTTTTCTATGATTTAAGACCATCATAACTTTCTCAGTATCTCTATATAAGTTTCAGAGGAAGTAAATTCTACCAGCAACTAATTTTTTTTTTCCGGTAAAACTTTCATAATAATAAAGGACTTAGAACAGCAACCATTTCCTCTACTCCAGACTAGTAAATGTATCACCTTACTTGTTTCTTTCCAAACTGTAACCAAATACAGTGCTCAAAATGCATAAGCTATCATCTATTTTAACCCTGTGAGTTAATATAAAAATATACATTACTGAGATATAAAATTACTTAATAACCAGATTCAGGAAAGAAAACAAGATAACAGGAAGGAACAGAAAGTGATTATTTGACCTGTTGCCATACACCTCTTGCTAATCTATTTGATGTAACCTTGTTTTTGGAGATACAGCATCTTAACCATCAGATTTGCTAAAAAAGTTAAGAATAGTTTAGTGCCTTAAGATAGGATTTCTTGAAAAGACTGCCAGGTTATCATTCGTTAGCACATCTCCAGTAGAATTCAGCTATTTTGGCATTCGCAGCTCTTGCAGCTAATATGCTTTGCTATCCATACTTAATGGATGTTGTTACTGAGGTTGCCTATAGTTCTGCCTTCACTGCTGATTGAATAAAAATGTTGGAATGATGAGCACTTTAGGCAGCAGTAACAGTCTACTCTACTAAGACCTCCATCAATTCTTCTCTTCCTCCTCTCTTTCCATGTCATCTTTCCAGCTGCTGATACTTTATATTTTTTTTTTCTGAATGAATCAAATGGAAGGAGGATTATGACAGTGTTTAACTTCTTTTAAATTAAAGTTTTTCCCACTTCTCACATCTGGCATTATCACTGGTATAAGGATAGTAGAAAAGAGAGGGAACAACTATGGGATGTTGCCCAGAAGAAACAAAAGACACTGGAATGAAAATACCAGTAAGAGGAGGAACTTTTTGTCACCATTTGGATAGACACTTCTTAAAGTAGAGAAAGAGAAATCCTGCCTGTTTAAACTCACAATGGCATGAAGCACCAATTTTAAAACAACTTCAGGAGGGAGAGACAGAACATGTTTTGCAAAAAGAAAGTCACACAGGACTGTGCCTACCTTTGCACATATCATTCACAGAAAGGCATGTGTAAATAACCAGAAAGGTTTCTAAAATTGCAAATTACTGCACTTAACCTGCAGTAGTTATCTGAACCATTGTAAATTCAATGCAAGTCTTAGTTACAGTTTTGCCCTGTGTCTCTGAAATTATTTTAAAACTAAATAAAAAGGTACCAAATGCTTAAAAAAAAAAAAAAAAACAGAAAAAAATGATTCAGTTGCAATACCACAGCTTGAATGGGCTCTCAGGGAAGAACAAGATCATCAGGTTTTATAGCAGCCCATCAGACATGCACTATTCAGGCATACACGCATGCTTCCCTTTCTGCTCGTGCTAACAAGTCAACAAACAACGAGAAAAACCAGCAGGTTTCGTTCTGCCTATTTCCCCCCCCACATCCTACCTCCTATCTACAAGGGGAATGTTATAGCTACAACTTCCATCTATGGGATTTTTGGTTTCCTGGTATCACAGCAATGAGCGTTTTCTCTTACAAGATTCACAGGACTCCCAAACCACCTGTAGCCTTATTTTGCCATATGCACTGTCATACCACAGCCAAAAGCTTTCTAATGGGGATTCCCTAGTATCACTGATATTCACACTGTTCGCTAGATTCCAGTATTTTGCCCATCCCTCGAAGCAGAATACATTTAGATTACATAGTGTTTGAGTCAGTGTCTGCTGCAGTTCATGGGGCACTACCAGGCTTCTCTTTCAGATATTGCCTTTTCCTGCCTCAGCCCAGGTCAAGGTTGTAGTTTTGTTGTCATATTTAATTTAAGTTTCAAATATATTTAGCAGAAAGTGAAGGGTTACATTACATTCACATTATAGGCAATTATGGCTTTCTTTTCTCATGCATAGATGTTATGCAAAGCTGGGACACATTACATTATGAGATAAAATAGGTTCCATAAACACACATGCAAGTAGAAAAATGAAAGGAAAATACAAATTTGTAAAATATATTCCCAGCTCCATTTCTGACACTGATCAGAAAAAGCTTACTTAACCTCAGTGAGTCTCCTTTTCCTCCTATGCTAAACAGAGATAATCCCTACCACCTGGCTGCAAAGACATTTTAGACATTAAGGTAGTCAATGTGTTTCAAGGGCCTTGAGGGAAAGGCTGTAAAGAAAAGCAACTTGTTCATATTTAGTCTTTAGAGGAATGAAAGACCAATAAAAAGAGAAAAAAGACATCACCTGTAACAAGTAAACAAGGAAAAAAAACACAATGGGAAGCATAAAACCACCAAGAAATACATCAGTCGCGTTTTATCACTTCAAGCCAGTTTTCTCATACTGAAATATTGATTCATATGACAAACACAACAGTTAAAGACTTTCAGAGATTTTATCCCCTAGTTTTAAATGATAGATTGCGCTCTTACCTTTCAGGACATACATGCACACATTGAACACGATATAAACATTACACTGGGTTTCGTGTTAATTCTCACTAATAAATAATGAGAATTAGCTTTCTTTAATTACACAAAACAAGTATCTTTTAAAAAAATGCAGACACAGACAGTGAATAAAGCTAGTATTACAGAAACATAAATATGCCTGGCCTATGATTAACCTCACAGACAACTGAGTGAAAAAATTGACTGCTTAACCTGCATGTTAAAGGTAACCAGGAAAAGGAGGAAGGATAAATATTGTGCTACGGATCACCTTTCCTCTCTTCCTCCTGCATCTGGGTTGGGAAGGCTAGGAACGCAAAGTGGATTTTATTTGCATTTGGCCTTTAAATTTGCTTTTCTTTCTCACAATCTCAGCTAATATATGTGCTTGGACAACTTGTTGGAAAACAGAAAATATTTTCTTGAACTGAGAAATGAAATCTTAAAACTGCCTTTTCAAATCCAGCTGTCAGCTTATCCCTAATATCTACTGAATTCCATACACCTGGCAAACTCAGATACCAGTGATGTAATGCCACAAGCGCAAGCACCTCGCTATTTTATATTTTTTTAATCTTCTGATTCTATTTTTACTTTATAAGCTGCAGAGTGAGTTCTGCTACCTGCCAGACCCGTGCAGACAGCAGCATTCCACAGCTCCTTAACACCTGCAGCCTCCCCAACCTGAACTGAGAAATATCCAGCAATGCCAGCGATGTTACGTCCAAGCCATTAGCCTGCGTGCTGCTTTAGGCTGCCCTAATTGCTTGTGACCAGGACCATATTATGTTTTATTGTCTGTGCCGTCCGCAGCGCTGTGGTGTGTGGGGGTGCCCGGAGCTGCGAGGCTCCCCGTGGCGCGAGGTGGGACGCTCTGTCCCCAGCTTTACCCTGCACATCACGGGCTCACACTAAAGCGGTCCTGACACTGACCTCGCCGAGACTCGGCAGCTGGAACAGCCTTAACTAGGTATTAACACAGCAACGTGCTCCGTCAACTGGTGCCGGCTGCAGCGGGGAGGAGAGGAGAAGAGGCAGAGGAGAGGAAGCGCCAGAGCCAGAGAAGCTGGTTCACAAGCGCAGGAGTCACAACACGTCCCTTTAAGTTGTTTCCAGGAGATACCTCACACCTCCACTGCAGGAGCGCTCTGCTGCATCCCAAAGCAAGGGGAAGGCACGGAATTGCTTGAGCTTGTTTTCCTGCCAAGTCTCACAGAGCAAAGCATGCTGTTTTAGCAACACAAACACTCACAAACCAACACCAGAGAAGTAGATGTTATTCCCTTTAATTACTGGTGGCTAGCAGCCTGCTGAGCAAAGCGAGGGAGCAGCGAGCGGGGCTATACTAACCCTGCCACAATCCCTAATATCCAATAGGATATTATGAGTCCAGTACACAGAAAAGTATAATCCACATTTACACTTGGTGTACCTGCAATATAATAGGGTAGTTTTACTTCACTACCTTTCGATTCTACCTTTGGTGGTCTTTGGACTATACCACTGAACTAATCAGAAACATTTAAAAGTTTTAATCTGAATTCTGCTTTACCTTCAGTTCAGCGTGCAGACCATTCCCAGGGCAGAAGGGTTGGATGTGGGATTACTGCTGAAGTGCCCCACACCCAAGTTAGCTAATAGCTAATAACTCACCCCAGCTGAGCCACTTAACCTCAAACGCAACCCACCTGGAAGCCAGAGCTGTTGGAATAGTGGCAGACATGGCTACTGGGATTCAGAAAAATATAATATCAAATGGTTTACAAAAATATCAAGAGCAATGATTTTTGCCAATGCAGGGGAAAAAAAAGTCTCCTTGCATCTAGAAATATTTATGTGAATAACGAGAAGTCAAAGGGCTGTAATGGTTTGCAATGAGGGACAGGACAGAACAGCAGAGATATTTACCCATCAAGTTTTCATATGAGATGAGAATGGAGCTAAATGTGTTGCAACTCACTTGCTATAGGAACACAGCTGAATTGTGTATGAATTATCCCTCATCATCTAATTGGGACTTTGATGGGTGAGCAAAGGCAGTATCTTACATTGGAGCCTAATCAGTCAGGCCAAATAATAAACAATAAAGTGAACAACTTAATAAAAACCTTGTGATCATAAAAGAATATATCCAAACTGTTCGATATGAAGTTCTAAATAATCAATCGGAGGGACTGCAGCAGTAACAGTGTAAAGAGAAGCAAAGCAAAACTGTGCAGGGGGACAATTCTCCCTGATTCCCTGCTGATATGTTTGGAAATAACAGACAAGCTTTCAGGCTCAAAGTCTATCAGAGAAATAATAAGAAACAGTAAAATCTGTGCTAGCCTGCGATTAGAAATAATTTTTATTAATTTAAACAAGTGATTATACTGACTAATCAGCTTAAAAGGAAGCTGGTTAAAACTTGTGGCATAGAGGAGTGTTAGCAAGGGAAGAGATCATTAGAACATATGTAAGAGGCTGTAAAGCCAAAGTTTTTATTTACTCAAAAATGATTCGTATTTGTTATGAGCAGCAAATTTCTGATTCCAGGCTGAGATCTTTTGAAGATACTTTACACCTAAAATGGGACTCAGAACTGAGAATACTCTGAAACATTTTGTAGAAGCATTTTCCCACTTAAACCAGGGTACACCTGCTTTTTCCAACTATGCATTTCTGTGTTCACTCTGATGCCTACTGATTATTCAGTTTCAACACTTAACTGAAGACATCTGGCATGTGTTTGACATAGGTACATGTCAAACATGTACGTATCCATGGTTAAAAATTGGGAAAAACAAAGAAGACACAAAGCAAATCATTAAGCAAAGAGGACTAAATACCTGAGTCCAGGTTGTGCCAACTGTATAGGGAACCACAAGCTAGTGACCTTGCAATACTCAGTCGTGGCCATAGACACATCAGTGTGACCATGGTGGCATGAAGTGATTGCCAGATGCTAATTCCCGATACTTGGTCTGTATATAGAGGATAAAAGTAAAAGCCATAAATGCAGGAGATCCTTTTCAAACCCCTTGGCCCTGAACTGATAGGGAAAACAAAGAGTCCAAGGTAGACATAGACTTTTTCTAAGAGATATGCAGTAATTTGGAAAGAGGGACAAAACAAGTGAGAAAAAGTAATGAAAAACAATGATGTGAAACAGAACATGGAAGAGGGAAAAGTTAGAAAGACAAGTAGGAAAGAGTGAAGACTAAAAAGAATTGAATCCACTGCACTGCCTAAAGACTAAAAAATACCTTATGCTTTCATGTTACTTTCAGCCAGTGACAGATCGACAGGTCCTGAAACTGGATGCATAAGGAAATGCAGTAACACCGGTCCCTGCGTCCCAGCTTGTCTCTCAGTCCTACACTGACATCTAGTGTCAAGAAAATAATGCATCTATCCCTGAAACAGGAGGAGGAAAAAAAAAAAAAAAAAAAAAAAATGTGGTCCAAGTTTTAAAAGGAGCTGAATGTCTTTGCATGATGAGAGGACAAGATGTCCGTATTGCTCAGGACAAGAATTACTAAAAACATAGAAGAACCATAAACTGGCATGAACAGCACCCTCACGACTGGAGGAAGGTTTCTCCGCTAACAGGGATGCACAGATTCATGAATGAATTTGATCTAAGAATCAATGGATTCAATCCATGAGTGGACCAAGGAGTTTTGTTCTGATAACTGATCACAATGAAAACTGAGCAAACTTAGAAATATGGGTCCTAACTTCATCCCTGCTTGATGGAAGCTTTAGAGGAAATGATACTGAGTTTAGGAAAAGCAGTGATTTCTTTTTTTTTCCCTCCCCCTCCAATGTGATCTTGCATAAAATGGTTGGTTGGGGGTAATAGAGTAGCTTCATTACAGCTTTTTTTTTTTCTTTGAAAAGATTTATTTTTAACCTTCAGGAATGTCTTCATCCATATTGATTCTGGGATGCCAGTCTCATTTAAAAAAAAAATTGCATTCTTGCAACAGAATCATACACACTTCATACTCCTCCTTATACAAAATCATAATAACCTAGAAACTAGAAGCTTGTATAGGAGGAAAAGAATGCTCCTATGAAACAAGACAGTTTCTAAACTTCTATTTCTCCTTTTTTTTTTTAAAAAAAAAAAAAAAAAAGCTAGCCTTCCAAAACTATTTTCCAAAAAAAAAAAAAAAAGTTATCTGTAAAGCTTGTATGTTTGTCACTTTAAAATGTTATGTCTCTTAAAGGAAATAAAAGTCCTTCCCTGGATCTCCATACTTAAGTCATGAGTTTTAATTACGAGGTACTCTTGTTTCCTCTTTTAGTTATACATATGACTGTATCTTTCAAACCCCACAGGCTGCACCCCTGGATGTGAAAGAAGCCGTGCACTGGCTGCTCACAAGCTGCATGGATCTCTACGCACCCAGCTTATCTACTCATCAGAAATTCAGCCAGGCCAGGGAAACTATTTTTTTTCTGCTCCCTGCTCAGGCCAAATAGCATGGGAAATTTAATGTAAGTCGGTCTCACATTCCCTGACCATGAATGTGAAAAAAATTAATTCTCTGCAGCTAAATACCCTTAGAGTCATTTGGTATAAAAGGCAATGGTCTGTCACTTATATCCTGTGCTAAACTGGTAATGAAATCTTGAAGAGGGAAAGGGGGAATCATGACCAAAATAAAGCCCAAATTAGCCCATTGCCTTCACACCATTTTGAGATTCAGCATAATTGAATCAGTGAAATTATTCTCGATAGGGCAGGCTGTGTACAGGCCTGGGGAAGACAGGCAACACGTGCAGTTTTGCCCTTTCCTCTCTTCAGGCCTTCGCACTGCTGCCCAGTGGTGTGTGGTGATATTGGAGAGCTGGCTTGTTTCCACCTTGCCTCACTTAGCTAACTCTGCCGTAATAGCATTAAAAGCATGTGAGGCCCCAAGGGAGGCCATGGGGCACACACGAGCAGCACTCATCTCCTGCATGGCATCCCCGCAAGCTCCTTGGGGCAGGCAGCTCTGTACAGAATATATCCTCCTAAAAGCCACGCATAAAGGTTTCCCAGATGATAAATATGGGTGTTGGACGGGTCTTGCTGCTGCAAATGTAGAAAGCAAATAGCAATAATCACGTAAGAAAAAGTTTAACCTCTCAGAGGGAGGGAACAGGAGGAGCGACAGGGCTCTGTGACTGCTTTTTCAACAAGCACGTGTGAGTTATTGCTGTCCTTAGCAAGCATGACACTAATTATCGCTATAAATGGCCATTTAAATGAAGGGAATACAGTCTTGTAAACATTATGTACTTGATATTAAAAGAAATAAATATGCTGAGAATGAGCTGTGTGAAAAGTAATGTATTTTTGTCCTTTTAAATTAAAAAAAGAGCAAAAGATCGCTACCATCATGAAATATGGGAGATCAGCTTCTGATGAAAAATCTACATGTGAAAAAAAATCCACAATGACGATTAGAAACATTTATCAGAAGAGTTCATGTTTCTGATAAATATTTAAGTGTGCAAGGCAGAACCACTGAGAACAGTAAATACTTTATAGCTGGCACTTTGTCAAAACTGTAAGTGGCTCTGCCTTCGAATTTTACATCATCACTAAATTTACAGTCATTTGATAAGTGGCACAAGACAAGAATTACTCCTTTCTAAATCTAAACCAAGTAATAAATTTAACATCAGGATTCCTCTTATTGTCCGTTATCGTCTGATGACAATGCCTTTTACCTTCATTGTCTTGACAGAAATATGATATGTAAAATTGTAATGTCACATCACTCACGATGATTTAACACTATCCAGCCCACACCATTTTAATCAATCAAAATTGTCGCTTTTTACTGTAATGATTTTCTGGTAGATTCCTTGTGTTTAATATGATATATAAGTCTTATCAGCAGTTGATTTACTATTTCATTTCAAAGTCTAACAGCTCAGAAGGCCATTCTTACCTCCTTCAGACACCTTTGGAATTAGCAAACAAGTATCTTTTTAGGTACTAAAGGCAGACTAATTATTGCCAAAAGCAACTGAAGAATATTGGTCTCCAAGAAAATTTTTTTTTTACCATGAATGTGTATCTGAAAGGGAAGAAAAAAAATAAAGTAGTGAATTTAAAAATTTAGAGAAAAATGCCTCACTACAGAATGTACAGCAGAAGCATCGGCACTTCTTCTATTCTCAGTATCTCAAAGTGTCCACGGTCCTATCTAATTGCATAATAGAATTGCTGAACTCTGTAATTTTCCAGCTCTTTTCTTTATATTTCTATGTTATATCATCTTTTTTTTTTTTTTTTAACAGAAATCTACCACATTTATTTCTTAGACAACTGCAAGAAAACCAATTTGTGTTTGCAAAGCTCTTTCAAACACTACCCAGTATATGATTAGAATGGCCAATCTACATTAAACACATCTTTACATTAGGCTGCAACAAAGCACAAATGCTTAGAGCTATCACAGAACACTACGACAGCAATTCTAACATTGAAATGCTGTTTTTACATTCCCTTGCATACCAGAAAGGCTGTACTCTCATAAACAGAAAAATATACATTTGATCCTCTGTCAAACCTACGAGGGGTTGAGGGCCACCTGTCTTCCTTGGGGAGCTGACTGACACTTTCC